CAGCCATGGTTTGAGAGGGGAGTTGAAAAGTAACCACCAAAGAGAGAAAAGATGCCCCAGCATATGACCTGATGATAGATGGTTTGCCATGTGACAAATGTAATTGGGAAGATTTTAATCTAAACAACAAACACAGTACCAATAAGTCAAATTTGTCTCTCTTTAAAGATCATAGGAATAAGTGAACGTCATATTTGCTTTTCCTATGCTCAGATGCTATAGTAATGTGTGATCTTATACTGTTCAACTAGTTGTTTCCCCCCCTGTATCCACTGTTTGCTTATATTCTTTAAGATAAAATTTCTTTTCTGAAATTGCTGTTATTTGGTCTAGTTAAACCACATTAAGCCCAGTTAAGTTCACACTTACCAGAAGTATGAAAAGGGGGGCAGCAGTTAAGCCTTACTGCCCTAGAGAGCTCACATCAGAGAGTGGTCCCCTCTGTAGCAATTTTGAGAGACAGGGAGATGCAGAAGTGGTATTAAGATCTTTTAAGAGACAGAAGGGGAATAGACCCCTGGTGCAGACCCTCAGGCTGGACTAAACCTCTAAGAATTGGTTTGCTGGTGGCAGCTGAAAGAATGAGAAAGGGGTCTAAGTAGGCTAAGGGCTGGAAAGTGGTGGTCTAGCAACTTGAGACTAAAGTCAACAGCATAAATCCCTTATTTCTAGTGGCAGAACAAGGGCCTGAAGAGTCAATTTGCAACATGAACACCAGCTGTACTTTGGCCAATCATTAAACTGCCTTTAATGTATAGCAAAAGCACTGTCAAATACAAGCTCACAGCTGAATTTTCCCCCCAATGATAAAATTAAGAAGAGTCACAAATTTCAATTGTCCTCATGTTGAATAAGCAAAGAAATAATTTATTTTGTCTAAATAGTCATTCTGAACAAAATATACTAATGTGCTTTACTAGACCCAAAGCAGCTCAAACTGCTGGTGCCAAACTCCCTCTGACTTCTGACCCAAGGTAAAAAGGAACAGATTTTAGGAGCTGGGCTGCAGCCATCATTTAGGTATACAGGATGAAAGATGATATTGCTGCATCTTGCCTTTTTTCCCTCAGAGATTGCACTGTTTTAGATGGAGCAATAAAAAAACAATCCCAGATTTGGAGGCAAGCTATTTTCACACCTGTGTGTTTAATGATGACCTAAATCATTCCAAATAAATGAACTATTGTTCTAAGCGGAGTGTGTACTACTAATCAATACTTACTGCAACTGCCTCCAGGATTTGTTTCACAGCATCAGCAGCATCTCGCTCACTATAATATCCCTTTTCCACAATCCTGTCAAGGAAACAGAAGATGCATCTTAGATGCAAGGATTAAACAAGAGCACACAATCCTATGTCGATGCCTCATTAAAAATTAACCCCAAAGAAACCAAATCAGCACATCTTACAATCTCTCCTTATATATAATTGAGTAAGAACATTCTATATGAACATTCTAAATTTGGCCCCTTTAGTGTATGGATGCTTGAACTGTCAGTCAGAAGACGCTGGCTGGGTTGACTGGCTGCTTTGTGCAGTCCCGCCCAGCATTTCAAGGTCTTTTGCATATGGAAGCTGATTGGACTTCACTGCATTCCACACCTCAAACTCACCCCCCTCCCCGCAAGGCAGTTGGAATGTCAGTTGCATATGGAACCTTCAAGGTCTTTTGCATATGGAAGCTGATTGGACTTCACTGCATTCCACACCTCAAACTCACCCCCTCCCCGCAAGGCAGTTGGAATGTCAGTTGCATATGGAACCTTCAAGGTCTTTTGCATATGGAAGCTGATTGGACTTCACTGCATTCCACACCTCAAACTCACCCCCTCCCCGCAAGGCAGTTGGAATGTCAGTTGCATATGGAACCTTCAAGGTCTTTTGCATATGGAAGCTGATTGGACTTCACTGCATTCCACACCTCAAACTCACCCCCTCCCCGCAAGGCAGTTGGAATGTCAGTTGCATATGGAACCTTCAAGGTCTTTTGCATATGGAAGCTGATTGGACTTCACTGCATTCCACACCTCAAACTCACCCCCTCCCCGCAAGGCAGTTGGAATGTCAGTTGCATATGGAACCTTCAAGGTCTTTTGCATATGGAAGCTGATTGGACTTCACTGCATTCCACACCTCAAACTCACCCCCTCCCCGCAAGGCAGTTGGAATGTCAGTTGCATATGGAACCTTCAAGGTCTTTTGCATATGGAAGCTGATTGGACTTCACTGCATTCCACACCTCAAACTCACCCCCTCCCCGCAAGGCAGTTGGAATGTCAGTTGCATATGGAACCTTCAAGGTCTTTTGCATATGGAAGCTGATTGGACTTCACTGCATTCCACACCTCAAACTCACCCCCTCCCCGCAAGGCAGTTGGAATGTCAGTTGCATATGGAACCTTCAAGGTCTTTTGCATATGGAAGCTGATTGGACTTCACTGCATTCCACACCTCAAACTCACCCCCTCCCCGCAAGGCAGTTGGAATGTCAGTTGCATATGGAACCTTCAAGGTCTTTTGCATATGGAAGCTGATTGGACTTCACTGCATTCCACACCTCAAACTCACCCCCTCCCCGCAAGGCAGTTGGAATGTCAGTTGCATATGGAACCTTCAAGGTCTTTTGCATATGGAAGCTGATTGGACTTCACTGCATTCCACACCTCAAACTCACCCCCTCCCCGCAAGGCAGTTGGAATGTCAGTTGCATATGGAACCTTCAAGGTCTTTTGCATATGGAAGCTGATTGGACTTCACTGCATTCCACACCTCAAACTCACCCCCTCCCCGCAAGGCAGTTGGAATGTCAGTTGCATATGGAACCTTCAAGGTCTTTTGCATATGGAAGCTGATTGGACTTCACTGCATTCCACACCTCAAACTCACCCCCTCCCCGCAAGGCAGTTGGAATGTCAGTTGCATATGGAACCTTCAAGGTCTTTTGCATATGGAAGCTGATTGGACTTCACTGCATTCCACACCTCAAACTCACCCCCTCCCCGCAAGGCAGTTGGAATGTCAGTTGCATATGGAACCTTCAAGGTCTTTTGCATATGGAAGCTGATTGGACTTCACTGCATTCCACACCTCAAACTCACCCCCTCCCCGCAAGGCAGTTGGAATGTCAGTTGCATATGGAACCTTCAAGGTCTTTTGCATATGGAAGCTGATTGGACTTCACTGCATTCCACACCTCAAACTCACCCCCTCCCCGCAAGGCAGTTGGAATGTCAGTTGCATATGGAACCTTCAAGGTCTTTTGCATATGGAAGCTGATTGGACTTCACTGCATTCCACACCTCAAACTCACCCCCTCCCCGCAAGGCAGTTGGAATGTCAGTTGCATATGGAACCTTCAAGGTCTTTTGCATATGGAAGCTGATTGGACTTCACTGCATTCCACACCTCAAACTCACCCCCTCCCCGCAAGGCAGTTGGAATGTCAGTTGCATATGGAACCTTCAAGGTCTTTTGCATATGGAAGCTGATTGGACTTCACTGCATTCCACACCTCAAACTCACCCCCTCCCCGCAAGGCAGTTGGAATGTCAGTTGCATATGGAACCTTCAAGGTCTTTTGCATATGGAAGCTGATTGGACTTCACTGCATTCCACACCTCAAACTCACCCCCTCCCCGCAAGGCAGTTGGAATGTCAGTTGCATATGGAACCTTCAAGGTCTTTTGCATATGGAAGCTGATTGGACTTCACTGCATTCCACACCTCAAACTCACCCCCTCCCCGCAAGGCAGTTGGAATGTCAGTTGCATATGGAACCTTCAAGGTCTTTTGCATATGGAAGCTGATTGGACTTCACTGCATTCCACACCTCAAACTCACCCCCTCCCCGCAAGGCAGTTGGAATGTCAGTTGCATATGGAACCTTCAAGGTCTTTTGCATATGGAAGCTGATTGGACTTCACTGCATTCCACACCTCAAACTCACCCCCTCCCCGCAAGGCAGTTGGAATGTCAGTTGCATATGGAACCTTCAAGGTCTTTTGCATATGGAAGCTGATTGGACTTCACTGCATTCCACACCTCAAACTCACCCCCTCCCCGCAAGGCAGTTGGAATGTCAGTTGCATATGGAACCTTCAAGGTCTTTTGCATATGGAAGCTGATTGGACTTCACTGCATTCCACACCTCAAACTCACCCCCTCCCCGCAAGGCAGTTGGAATGTCAGTTGCATATGGAACCTTCAAGGTCTTTTGCATATGGAAGCTGATTGGACTTCACTGCATTCCACACCTCAAACTCACCCCCTCCCCGCAAGGCAGTTGGAATGTCAGTTGCATATGGAACCTTCAAGGTCTTTTGCATATGGAAGCTGATTGGACTTCACTGCATTCCACACCTCAAACTCACCCCCTCCCCGCAAGGCAGTTTTTGGCTCGGCCGGGATTGCAAGCGACTTATGGTTGGCTCCAACCCGGGGGGCCCCGGTGTCTTGAGGATGGGAGTCGAAGCGACGCCAGGCCCGGCCTCATCGCTGTTTTCCATGGTTGCCCTTTGCCGTTAAGTTAAGAAGTTAATAATTTAATAAAGTGGCCTTATTTCATCCAACCTTGCTGTCTGACTATTTCTTCCGTCTGGGGGGCAATAAGAAGATTCACAAATTTCAATTGTCCTCATGTTGAATAAGCAAAGAAATAATCCATTTTGTCTAAATAGTCATTCTGAACAAAATATACTAATGTGCTTTACTAGACCCAAAGCAGCTCAAACTGCTGGTATCAAACTCCCTCTGACTTCTGACCCAAAGTAAAAAGGAACAGATTTTAGGAGCTGGGCTGCAGCCATCATTTAGGTATACAGGATGAAAGATGATATTGCTGCATCTTGCCATTTTTTTCTCAGAGATGGCACTGTTTTAGATGGAGCAATAAAAAACCAATCCCAGATTTGGAGGCAAGCTATTTTCACACCTGTGTGTTTAATGATGACCTAAATCATTCCAAATAAATGAACTATTGTTCAAAGCAGAGTGTGTACTACTAATCAATACTTACTGCAACTGCCTCCAGGATTTGTTTCACAGCATCAGCAGCATCTCGCTCACTATAATATCCCTTTTCCACAATCCTGTCAAGGAAACAGAAGACGCATCTTAGATGCAAGGATTAAACAAGAGCACACAATCCTATGTCGATGCCTCATTAAGAATTAACCCCAGAGAAACCAAATCAGCACATCTTACAATGTCTCTTATAAAGAAAGTAACATGCTCATGGTTAAAAATATACTGCCTACAATGCAGGAATTCCAGCTAAAATAAAAAGATGCTTTCACTACATCAACACAGGTGCAGTGACAATGAAATCCATTTCTGCTAACAAATATTAAAATCAAACTTGGGTCTTTCTGCTCCACAGACAAAGGTAGGGTGGGGAAACAGGAAATTATGGGTTGGATCCAGTGGTTATTTCCACAACGGGCTTTACTACTAGTACCTCTATAAACATGCAGTTATATGTGTGGTAGTGTGGTAGCTAAGTAACTGAGGCTGTAATGCTAAGAACATTTTCCTTGAAATAAACCCCACAGAGGCTGCAATCACACACACTAAATAATCCACTTTGAAACTGGATTTGATTTGAGGGGTGGAGCCTGGAGAGGGTGGGGTTTGCGGAGGGGTGGGACATCAGACAGGTAGAATGCCATAGACTCCACCCTCCAAACCAGCCATTTCGTCCTGGGTAACAATTGTTGCCAATTTCCAGGTGAGGGCTACAGATCACTCAAAATTACAACTGCTCTTCAGGGACCAGTTCCTCTGGAGAAAACAGTGGACTCTGTCATTATACCCTGCTGAGGTCACCACAGCAAAATGACACTGTTTGCCCAAAGCCAGAGCAGTGCCCCAGAGCCTCTTTCTAGATCTCGTATTTATTTCCACAACGGGCTTTACTACTAGTACCTCTATAAACATGCAGTTATATGTGTGGTAGTGTGGTAGCTAAGTAACTGAGGCTGTAATGCTAAGAACATTTTCCTTGAAATAAACCCCACAGAGGCTGCAATCACACACACTAAATAATCCACTTTGAAACTGGATTTTACTGTGTGAACTGGCAAAATGTAGTGTGAAAGTGCATTGAAAGTGGATTATTTAGTTCCTGTGATCGCAGCCTGAATAACATGGCATTTACTTCCAAGCAGACCTGCTTAGGATTGCTCTCTGAACTGTGAACCACTGTTCAAATCCTGTTTCTGCCATGAGCTCAATGGGCCACCTTAGACAAGCCTCAAATTAATCCTTTAGCATCAGCTCTCCCCAGGGCCGGTCCCAGGGTTTTTTGCACACTAGGCAAGGCTGTCTTCTGGCATCCTCCCCCCCCCCCATGCACCCCCCAATTTTCAAACATAAATGCATTTTAGGAAGAATGAAAAAAACAAAATTTGAAATTGCTAATGTGTGGCACGTGAGTGAAGGCTGAGTGGAGAGTTCACCCACTTCCAGGTGTGTCTCCACTCAGTCTTCACTCATATGGTGCCCAGCTTTGCAAAACACATGGTACGCAAGTGAAGGCTGAGCGGCAAGTTCACCCACTTCTGGGTGAGTGACCTCACTGCTCAGCCTTCACTCGTGCACTGCCCGGCTTTACAAAAGCCATTTAAAATTTAAACTGCCTTTGCAAAGAGGCCAAGCAGTGCGCGAGTGAAGGCCCAGTTGCAAGTTGCCGCTCGGCTTTCACTCGCATTCCGTGCTGCTTTTGCAAAGTGACCAAGCAGCAACTTCGCCCACTTACAGTTCACCCAGAAGTGAACCAGAAGTGAGTGGAGTCACCATTGGGAAACCACGGTCGAAACAGACCCGATCCAGTCCATGAAACATGGTAGTTTGTGGTCTGGGGGACTGTGCCCATCCCTAGTCAACACACTACCATATATACCTTCGCTCACTTTTCAATACTCTATCATTTTGTTGACTTTCAATTAATAAAAAACCTGTCATATACTGATATGAACAGCACGTTCATGCCATTTAGAGTTGTTAATATATTGGAAAAATATTACATATGAAATTTCCCATACACAGTGCATATCAGTGGAATAAAATGTTATCAATGCAAGGCTATGGAGAGAAAGAGTATATTATACCTCATTTTCCAGATTACATGGAATTTTTTCAATAAGCAGCAGAGCCTTTAAAGCACTAGTCATGTGACAAGTCAAGGACAATAATTATTTGCAGGCTGCCAATAGCATACCGAATTCGCTTCAAGGTTCTGGTACTTACCTTTAAAGCCCCATACGGCCAGGGTCCGACATACCTGAGGGACTGCCTTTTCCCATATATACCCTAGAGAGCATTACAGTTGGGGTCACAACATCGTCTAACTACTCCAGGCCCAAGGGATGCCAGGCTCGCTGCTACCAGGGCCAGGGCCCTTTCAGTGGCAGCTCCTACCTGGTGGAATGAGCTTCTGGAGGAGATCAGGGCCCTGCGGGACCTGGTACAGTTCCGCAGGGCCTGCAAGATGGAGCTCTTACACCAGGCTTTTAATTAGGAGCCGCCCACCACTACCACCAACTACCATCATTATTAACATCGTGATAATAGGTTGGCCCTTCATGAGATCGAGCCACAGCGTTGCAAAAGGCTGGAATACTGCTGAATAGGGACTTTAGTACTATATTTTATTGCACGCCACCTCAAATTGACTGAAGATCGATTATTATTGTGAGCACTTTAACTGTATGATGTATGATTGTTTTATCTTGTTTTTAAATGTTTTATGCTGATTCGGCACATGGTGCAGTTAACTGTGAGCCGCCCTGAGCCCGTGGGGAGGGCGGGATACAAATTTAAATAACAACAACAACTTTAGCACTTTCTAGTCTGGACAGAGCTGGGTTCATTAAGCCCCAAATAATGGAGTAAAGCCAGATCAAGAGTCATAGCTAGGAAACTAAGTAAGGAAAGTGGTGGTCAGTATCTGAAGCTGGAGTACAAAGAAGGAAGGACAATGCAGCCATGAGAGTATGGAAATAAGAGTAATAGGAATAATCAGTAAGGCAGAGATGAAGTCTGTTAAAAACATCACTTGGGTCTTTTTGCTCCACAGACAAAGGTAGGGTGGGGGAACAGGAAATTATGGGTTGGATCCAGTGGAAGAATACACAGAAAGAGTTGGTGGAGTAGATCTCTCCCTGCCTTCTCCCCCAAGCAGAATGCCATTTGTCCCAAAACTCTCCTGAGAGGATCAGAAGAATCTTGAAAGCAAAATGCAAAACTATATGCAGCACTGCAGTAATCAGGTAAAACCACCCCTCCCCCCTCTCTCATTTGATGACGTAAGCGGCAATCATTTTGTTTACAAGGCTCTTGCAACCCTCAGAGAGGAGTCTGGGGACAAAAAACTAGCTGCTTGAGGACAGCAATGGCAAATCAACTCCTTCTGTGAACTCTTCCACTGGATCCAAACCATAGAGAGACCAGAATTCTGGGTTTTCAGAGTGCATGGGGAAATCAATAAAGAGATCAATGGAGTTCACGCAAGGTACAGGTTCTAAAAGGTACTAAACATTTGTGTCAGGAAATCAAGCACCATAAGATAGGACTAACACAGGGGTGGCCAAACTGTGGCTTGGGAGCCACGTGCGGCTCTTTCACACATATCGTATGGCTCCCGGCAGGGCGGCTGGGGAAGCTAAATATCATTAGCAAACAAATATGATTGGACAAATAAATATCATTATCAATATCTGCTTTTACTGCTTTTGCTATTATTTTTGGCAGTCTTATTTAATGTTAATAAAAAGCAAATTTGCATATTACCCAGTAAAAACATGTAATATTTGTTCATGTCTTGCGGCTCTCAAACATCTGACATTTATTTTATGTGGCTCTTTCATTAAGCAAGTTTGGCCACCCCAGGACTAACATATACTTCTAGTTTTCCCAGTCGTATGAGCACATACCTCCCTCCCCTGATATGAACCACTCAACTAATATTCTTTAAGAGACTGGATAAACTGAAAGATGGTTTGTGTGGGGGGTGTGGGGGGGAGGGTTCCGCAAAAGGCAACAATCTTTTGGGATCTGCATTCAGTCCACCATATCAAACAAAATGCATGTAATGAAAAAGAGGGTCATGAGGATGAACACACATTATCACCAGAAAAATTGTTCTGGTTAGGGGCAACAATTTTAAATGAATTAGGACCTGGATTTCTAAACATGCTTAAGATGAAATATCTATCACAGTGATAGGTTTCTATACTCAGGTAAGGCTCCTTTAGTTGTTTACCATTTGTAGGAAAGTAGAACAATGAATAGGAAGGCAGAGAAGGTGTGCATTGAGTTATAGGAGGAAGAACAAAGACAGCTGACACATATTTGGAATGAAAGCAGACCACAACTTCATAAGCTTTAATCAGACAGTGGAAAGTACAGCTTCATGTAGAATGTCATGCACATTTCCAAGTGCTGGTTAGCAAATAAAGGATGTCGGAAAGTGTCTTCTGGAGGCTGGATTTTGTTCCCACTTGTTTAACCCCCTTGGGGGACAAAGGCTCATTCCTTATTGCAGGAATGGGTTGGATACATGGCCCATCCTCAAGGCTTTAAGCTACCTACCTAGAGAGTTTCTTGGTCTTGTTCCTTTTATCGTGACAGAGCAGAAGTTGACAAATGTCTGCTCCATGAGGCCTTACCCTCTGACCCAATACCACAGTATAACATCAGCCAGTGGAGAGCAAGGTCAAGGCATTCCATGGCCAGGTCAATATAATTGGGCTGAAATTCTACCATATCACTCTTGGACTCCTGCTTTTCCACTCAGAAACACAAAATGGGCTCACTTTATGGTAAGGGTCTTCATTATAATTAAATTCCCATATGACATGTGATATAATTTTCACAGGTCACCTACCTGTCAAACAGTTCTCCTCCCGTGACCAACTCCAAGACAAGGCTGATTTCTGTGGTGGTTTCAAATATCTCCTTCAGTTTTATCTAGAGAAATGAACAGAATGAGCCCCCCCCCCCATATTTCATTATCAGATAACATATACATGTTAAGGCTGTCTACAACAAAGAGCTAAAACAAAGGATGGATATGTTTACCAACTTTCCCCCTTTTGTTCTTAGAAATTTGTAGGAACTTATTTGAATTTTTAATTCTTCCTGAGATCTTGGTGTCTTTTTTTCAATCTACAAGCTGAAGGACTTTAAGTGCGGGGGAAAGCTAACTTTTGTCAGGAAGTCTCTAGCTTTGGATTTCTTGGATTGAGCAGTGAGCTGGAGTAGATGGTCTTTAAGGTCCCCTTCCAACTCTGAATCTATGACTCTGGCTCTCTACAGTTCTCCAGCTCATAGTAAAACAGAGCAGGTAAGACAGACTGGTTTCCTAAAGGGCCTTCATCAGAATATTTCAAGTTCCAATGGAAATACTTTTAAATGGAAGCAAAGTATGGAAGAGAGAGAAGGACTCTTCTAGAAACCCTGGATTCAAAAAGAAAAAGAGCTGTGCATTAATTTTTGGTATCTGGTTGTAAAGGTAGACAAGAAGCATTCATCTCTGTAACTGCATCATTTTCCACTTTTTGATATTGCTATATCAGTAGACTTTTCTGTTCTTCTGTATGGCAAAAAAGGCCATTATATATTATTTGTATTTCTATTTGATGTGTTTATGCATTTATATTAAATTATGTTGAATCTTTGAAATATGTTAATATTCACTGCCTTGGGAACCTAGAACTGTGTGGAAAGGAAGCATAAAAATGTTTTAAATACAATTAAATAAATAAAAAACACTATAAAAGTGATATATCGACATTGCAAGCATATGAGCAAATACAAACATTTAATTTTTCACTTTAGAAATATCAAACTTACAATATTTGGATGTGAAAGTCGAAGTAAAACTCCTATCTCCGTTCGAACAATCTTCTTGTCTACCTAATTAAAAGGAAGCGTATATAATAAATTACTGACAGAGTTCATCATAGATAGATTTGAATACTGCTGCAATCTTAATTGTATTGCTAGGAAAAAAGTACCAATGGACTCAGCCAATCTAAATCCAAATAAATATGTTTAGGATCAGGCTGTAAACTGTAAAGAATTACTAAAGAAAAGCCAAAGATTTCAGTGTAGTAAATACAAATACGATTGAAATGTGATTAATTCTGTCAAGGCCAAACATCCTAGAGTCAATGAGTAAACTGGCTTAGTGGTTCTAGTCATCCAAATTATATATCAAGAAAGAAATCTCCTTCAATATGTTATCATGGGGAAACTCAGTAACATAAGTACAAGTGCAGTGCAGTCATAAAAAAACATAAGAAAAACTTTCCAACCACAAAGACGGCTGAAGAATGGTTGTTATTTATACAGAATGAAACCTGCTAATAACTGTTGCGGGCGAAAAGCCATCATATAAAAATAATCTATGTACCATTCCAGTTAAGAGGAAACATCTCCTGCAAAAGACTTGATAATTTATAATTAAAAAGTACTAGTAATGTAATTAATTATGGGAGTGAGCCCAAATGGGGGATTTGGATACTGGTTTTCATGACCCCCCCAATCCATTTAGAATCAGGCACAGGCTCCTGTGGAGGCTAAGATGATCCAAAGTGGATCCATTTGGAGCCCACTAAGTTCTCTCACCCCTTACTTACCTGGACTCAGAGGGAAGGGTTATGCAGTAGGACGTGCATTAGGCCCTACATTGACACTGCTCACTGAATCCAGGACTGCCGGGGGACTAAGTATCTCAGGATGATGGCATACACACTTTTGTCCTCCATGGCATTGTGCTCATATAAACAAGAAAGAGGGGGCAGTCAGCAAGGCCCACACTGGGGACAATGTGGGGCCCAGTCTATCCCAGACCTAATTCAGGGCCCAGATTATACTATTTATTTATTTGGCATATTGTCTGAAAGCTGAATCCTCCCAACTCTAAACAAAAGTCTGATTCAGCAAGACTAGTTTTTACAACCAAGCATTACCTTTCAAACATTCATATGATAAAATGTATTCACACATGACATTAGAAGTGCATGACCATACTCTTAATGCTATGTTGTTTCCAAGTATCATAAGAACATAAGAACATAAGAGAAGCCAATGTTGGATCAGGCCAATGGCCCATCCAGTCCAACACTCTGTCACACAGTGGCCAAAAATACCAGGTGTCATCAGGAGGTCCAGCAGTGGGGCCAGAACACTAGGAGTCCTCCCACTATTGACCCCCCCAAGCACCAAGAATACAGAGCATCACTTGCTCCAGAGTCCCTATCTATACCTTGTGGCTAATAGCCACCGATGGACCTCTGCTCCATATGCTTATTTAACTCCCTCTTGAAGCTGTCCATGCTTGTACCCACCACCACCTCCTGTGGCAGTGAATTCCATGTGTTAATCACTCTTTGGGTGAAGAAGTACTCCATTTTATCCGTTCTAACCCGACCACTCAGCAATTTCATTGAGTGCCCACAAGTTTTTCCAT